AGCATTCCTTATGGACACCAGTTCAAGTCCCGGCTGCTCCGCTTCTAGTCCAGCTCTCTGCTATGACCTGGGAAAGCAGTAGAAGATGGCCCAAGCACTTGGGCCCCTGCACCCACATGGGAGACTGGAAGAAGCTCCTGGATACTGGCTTTGGATCAGCGCAGCTCCAGCCATTGTGGCCAATTGGGGATGAACCAGCAGATACAAGACCTCTCTCTCTCTCTCTCTCTCTCTCTCTCTCTGCTCTCGACTCTCTTCGTAATTCTGACTTTCAAATTAATAATTAAATCTCAACTCATTGGGCCAGCTTTGTGGCACGGTAGGTTAAGCTGCCATCTGCAATGCCAGCATCCCATATGGGTGCAGTTTAAGTCCCGGCTGCTCCACTTCGATCCAGCTCCCTACTAATGTACCCAGGGAAACAGTGGGAGATGGCCCAACTGTTTGGACCTTGGCCACCCACGTGGGAGACCTGGATGGAGTTCCAGGCTCCTGGCTTTGACTTGACCTAGTCCAGGCCATTGCGGCGGTTTGGAGAGTGGATGAAAATCAATCCATCTCTTCCCTCCCCTCCCTCTCCCCCTCCCTTCCCCCTCCCTCTCCCTTTCTGTCCCTCCCCCTCTCCCTCCCCCTCCCCCTTCCCCTTCCCCTTCCCCATCTCCTTATCTGTAACTCTGCTTTCAAATAAATAAATCTTAAAAAAAACCACCTCAGTTTGACCTCTACTATTCTTTGCATTAAATAAAGCAATCGAAGTATTTTTACGATAAAGATCACTATTTTCCAGAGTACATATCTAAATTCATCCCTTTTGTTCTTTGTATGGCAAGAGGTCTCCTTTAAATCTTGCTAAATGCTTTCTAGCCTACACTGTGCTCCTTAACACTTGAAAGGTGTTAAAAAGTTCTGAAGTGAGGAAGCCTCTCTGGCTTTGTTTAATGATCATATATTTTCCAAACTTGGGGAACTTTTCTTTGGAAAATGCTGTCCTAGGAGTTTTGTTTGATTGCTTATTAAGGGGGTATGAGAAAAGGAGTTGACTTTTTCTTTTTTTTTTAAGAATTTTCATAGGGCTTTTAGGGTTGTATCTCCCTCCCCTAGTTTCTTCCCAGGGTCTGTGTTTCTTTTAGCTCCCTGGGTAAATGGCACACAGATAGTTCATCCTGAAGGACTCCCAGTGATGAGGAAGAGACTGTCCCTAAATCCCAAAGACAGCTTCATTTCAAGCTGCCTCTCTAGGGTAAAGAAACCGGCTCTTCGTGACGATGAGTGGCCAGGAACCCTAGTTTAGTTTGTGATTTCTCTGGTGCCTGCTTTTATTTCTCCATCGGAGCTGTTGATATCTTACAGCCCTCATATGGTTGCTTTAGGGTATTGATTATGCTCACCACAAAATTGAAATTTTTAAAAAAGGCATTTTCTGCATGGTTCAAATCTCCAGTTGACCAGTATAGTACTATGTTGAGTCTATACAAACCATGTAGAGTTCTTAGTTGAAAACAACTTTAATATGTGTGTGTATCTGTGTGAAATAAGAGTAGAGAACTTTCCACTTTGTGCATGTATCTGATTTTTCATCATCTGGAAGCAAAGCTTCTTTTGTTCTCTTTCAGTATACTTTGTGCCATTTTCATACTTTGTGTTGTTAGTGAGTTTTCTCTGCAGCCAATTGAAATTGTTTTGAAAAACAAAGCAGAAAATGAAGCAATATGGAACTTTAAAATGCAGCAAGAAGTCCACCGTAGAGGTGACATCATGCAGTTGTACCTTTAGAAACACTTTGTGCCACCCATAAGGGATACCTGGATTGAGTTCCTGGTTTTAGCCTGACTTATCCACAGCTGTTGAAGGCATTTGGGGAGTGAACCACCCGATGGAAGATCTGTCTCTGTCTCTGTGCCTTCCAAATACATGAGACTTTTTTTTTTTTTTTTTTAAAGATTTATTTTATTGGGGCTGACACTGTGGCAAAGCAGGCTGAGCCTGTGCCTGGGGCGCTGGCATCCCATATGGATGCCAGTCAAGTCCCAGGTGCTCCTCTTCCAATCCAGCTCTCTGCTTAAGGCCTAAGAAAGCGGTGGAGGGTGGCACAAGTGCTTGGGCCCCTGCACTCACATAGGAGACCCAGAAGAAGCTCTTGGCCCCTGGCTTTGGATTGGCCTAGCTCTGGTCTTTGCAACCATTTGGGGAGTGAACCAGCAAATGGAAGACCTTCCTCTCTGCATCTCCCTCTCTCTGTCTGTAACTCTGCCTCTCAAATAAATAAATAAAAATCTTTTAAACATTTGTTTTACTTATTTATTTGTTTTTTTTTAAGAAAAATTTAATAAATATAAATTTAAAAAGTACAACTTTGGATTATAGCAGTTTTTCCCCCCATAACCACCCTCCCACCCGCAAACCATTGCATCTCCTACTGCCTCTCCCATCCCATTCTTCATTAAGATTCATTTTTAATTATATTTATATACAGATGATCAACTTAGTATATACCAAGTAAAGATTTCAACAGATTGCACCCACACAGACACACAAAGTATAAAGTACTATTCGAATACTAGTTTTACCACTAATTCGCATAGTACAACACATTAAGGACAGAGATCCTATATGGGGAGTAAGTGCACAGTGACTCCTGTTGTTGATTTAACAATTGACAATCTTACTTATGATGTCAGTAATCACCCAAGGCTCTTGTCATGAGCTGCCAAGGCTATGGAAGCCTCTTGAGCTCACAAACTCTGACCTTATTTAGACAAGGCCATAATCAAAGTGGAAGTTCTCTCCTCCCTTCAGAGAAGGGTACTGCCTTCTTTGATGGCTCCTTCTTTCCACTGAGATCTCATTCACAAAAATCTTTCATTTAGGTGTGTTTTTTTGTTTTTTGTTTTTGTTTGTTTGTTTTTTTTTTGTTTGTTTGTTTTTTGTTTTTTGTTTTTTTTTTTTGCCTCAGTGTCTTGACTTTCCATGCCTGAGAAACTCTCCTAGACTTTTTAGCCAGCTCCTAATGCCTTAAGGGCTGATTCTGAGGCCACAGTGCTGTTCAGGGCATTTACCATTCTGTGAGTCTGCTGTGTATCCTGCTTCCCATATTGGGTCATTTTCGCCTTTTAATTCTATCAGTTATTATTAGCAGACACTAGTCTTATTTATGTGATCCCTTTGACAGTTAATCTTATCTTTATCATTGGTTATAAACTTAAAATGGTCACTTTAACTAGTGAGATGGCATTGGTACCTGCCAACTTAATGGAATTTGGAATCTCATGGCACGTTTCTAGCTCTTCCATTAGGGGTAAATCCAAGCATGTGCTTGACTTATTTATTTGAAAGGCCGAATTACAGAGAGAGACAGAGTTCATCCATCAGTGAGTTCACTCCCCAAATGGCCACAGTGGTCAGGGCTGGGCCATACTGGAGCAAGAAGATTCATCTGGTTCTCCCACGGGGGTGCAGGGACCCAAGCACTTGGGCCATCTTCCACTGCTTTCCTAAGCACATTAGCAAGGAACTGGGTTGGAAGTAGAGTGGCTGAGACTTGAACCCGTGTCTACATGGGATGCTGGCATTGCAGATGGTGCCTTAACTTGCTATGCCACAATGCCAGTCCGCCAAAAATGGAACTTTAAAATGCCTTTGGGCTTGTTGCTGTCTTCTTTTTATGAAGCGTACCATCATGCGTTGGGTTTCCCAAAGCCTTTCAGCCTTCCCAGAGTGTGCTCGAAAGCAGAGTCTAAGGAACCGTGTCCTCATGGGTCAGTTTCCGTTTATGTATAGTGTATTCAAATAGGAAATACCTTTGTGTAAGTATACGATTTGTTTGCAGTTACTGCTACTTTGCCTGATGTGTGTATCTATTTAATCAAAAGTTTCTCGCTCTTATCCTGAACACGATGGTATTTATGTGCTTAAATAAATAAATTTTCATGTTTATAAAAGATCAGAGGAAATATCACATGTAAACAGTGATATTCTCAAATATTAATTGCTGCTGGGTCAGTAGCAGAGGTACAAATGATCGTCAGGATTCTTTACACAGTTGTGATTTCTAGCAAGTTTTTTGTGATGATTTTCTTCATTATAAGCTTAAATTAACTGCCTACTAATTTTTTTGCTGGCAGTTTTAATAATCAATTTTAAACTGTGTCTGTTCTTAAGCTCTTGCCGTTTTTGGTCAGGCAATGTACAGATTTAGGAGTATTTCTATTAACCCTGTGCTCTGTTATGATTCTCTTTTGTGCTGGCAGCTGAGAGTTAGGTTCTGGATTTGGAATTTAATCTACAATTGCTAAAAGTTATCTCTTGCTGCTACTGCCCTGTCCACCCGTATTCAGTCACAGTAACAAATAATAGAAAGCTGTATTTTTATTTCAGGGTTCTAGGAGGAAGATAAAATTTTTTTGCTTTTTCTTGTATCTCATTCTATTAATAAAAACTTCTCAAAATTATTATAGAACAAGTAGCCTAAAGGTAGTTTTAATTGTCTACCTTTCATCCCCCTTATTTTGGTAAAATGCCCAGTTACACAGATTAAAGATCAGTTTAAGCAGTTTCATCTTGAAGCAGAAAAATAAACCAATCACTTAATTATTTGCTCTTTGTCTCTTAGATGTTTGTAAATTGCTTGGAAAGTTAGATTATAATACCTAGTGGTGGTCTGTAAGGATTAAAAAAAAATAGAAATGTTTCTTTTTAGTCCAAGTACTTTCCTCGTGTTTTGAAATACTCTTTCTATACTTTTAAATTAACATGATGTGTTACCTTTCTGATGTCATACAAAGTATGTAATTATACATTTTGTGGCTCATAATTATAGCTAATACAAATTCATAGTTCAAACTTAAGGATTTGTATTTTCTGGAAAGTTTACTGTAAATTTGGCACTATATCATTTTTTGCAAATTCATGCAGTTGTCAATAGTAGCATACTTCTTTCTTACCTGTGTGATATTAGATATATTTGAAAAACATGACTTAAATTATTTTTGTTTCGTATCAAGAAATGGATGAAAGGAGGCTGCTGGATCCAGGCTTGAAGGCTCATAAAGGCCTCTGGGATTCTGCTCTGAAGAACCAGCAGATGGAATGCCCGATTGACTGAAGAAAATGGGTGCTAATGCATCTAACTGTCCTCATTCGTGTTCCCCAAGGGCAGGGGGAAATTCGCAGGCCCAGCAGACTTTTATAGGTAATTTTCAGTGTTTCTAATTTCATTTTGTTTTATAGCTATAAATGGATTTGTATTTTTAGTGTTTGTGGATGAAGAGAACTGAGCTGTGGAAACCTTGTAGATAATTCTGCAGCATCTAAATCTCCCCACTCCAGCAAATATAAATCTAGATTTGTTTGAGATGTATCCTAAACAAACCTCTCAGGGCCCAACTGGTGTTTTCTTTGGTGTCTTAACCATAATTATCAATATGTTAGGCAAACCAACAATCTAATATCCGTTGGTGTAAAAACAGTAAAATATGTGTTTCTTGGTTCACTTATTTTGCTTGTACAAATGCAGCCTTTGTGTAATTAAAAGGAGAAACATTTTACAATTATACATAAGCAATATTTTTTTAAAAGATTTATTTATTTATTTAAAAGGCAGAGAGAGAGAGAGATCTTCCATCTGCTGGTTCACTCCCCAGATGACTGCCACAGCCAACGTGGGCCAGACTGAAGCCAGGAGCCAGGAGCTTCTTCCAGGTTTCCCACGTGGGTGCAGGGCCCAAGGGCTTGGTTCATCCCTTCCTGCTTTCCCAGGCACATTAGCAGGGAGCTGGATCAGAAGTGGAGCAGCCAGGACTCAAACCAATGCCCATAGGGGGTGCCGATGCCACAAGCGGCAGTTTTACCGCTGCACCACAGCGCTAGCCCCACAAGTAATGTTCTTAGCTTACCAATCTGCCTATTTCTCATTTTCTAAAAATACATAATTAAGATCTATGATACCTGGTCCTTGTTAGCCAGAGAACCAAAAACATTTTTAACAATTCAGACTGATGCGTGGGCATTTGTGCTAGTCATTAAGGTACCTGTGGTCCATATCAGAGTGCCTGGATTCAATACCCAGCTGCTCCTGATGTCAGTCAGCTGTTACTGCAGATCCTGGCAAGGAGCAGTGATACCCAGACAGATGGGCTTCTGCACCCCCGTGAGAGATCCAGGGCGGGATCCTGGCTGCTGCAGGCATCTGGGGAGTGAACCAGCACTACACCCCCATGCCAGAATACTCAAACTATTTGCTGTCTGTCCCTTTTTGTATTTAATATGAAGATGAGTTATTTGAATTTTCATCTCCGTTTATAAAAGCAAAAGCCAGTGTTATTTGAGTGGCTCAGGAATGTCTTTTGCAAAATTCATTGAAAATGAATGTTAAGGAAAAAATAAACAGATTTTCATTTGTTTCATTTTCTTCTTAGGGACATCATCTTATTCCCAGCAAGGCTATGGTTGTGAATCAAAATTGTATAGCCTTGACCACGGCCATGAGAAACCACAAGACAAAAAAAAGAGAACCTCTGGCCTTGCAACCCTCAAAAAGAAGTTTATCAAGCGTCGAAAATCTAATAGGTCTGCGGATCACGCCAAGCAGATGCGAGAGCTCCTCTCTGGGTGGGATGTCAGAGATGTCAATGCGCTGGTGGAGGAGTACGAGGGCACCTCAGCCTTGAAGGAGCTTTCTCTCCAAGCCAGTTTGGCTCGGCCAGAAGCCCGGACATTGCAGAGAGACATGGCTGAGCTTTATGAGTACAAGTATTGTACTGATGTAGACTTAATATTTCAAGAAACTTGCTTTCCTGTTCATCGTGCCATTTTGGCAGCAAGGTGTCCATTTTTTAAAACACTGCTTTCCTCCTCACCAGAGTACGGGGCGGAGATAATAATGGACATCACGACAGCTGGAATCGACATGCCCATGTTTTCTGCGTTGTTGCACTACCTGTATACAGGAGAGTTTGGAATGGAGGACTCGAGGTTTGAAAACGTCGATATCCTCGTTCAGCTCAGTGAAGAGTTCGGCACACCAAATTCCCTTGATGTCGATATGCGAGGGCTCTTTGATTACATGTGCTACTATGATGTTGTCCTGAGTTTTTCTTCAGACTCTGAACTGGTTGAAGCTTTTGGTGGAAATCAGAACTGTTTAGACGAAGAGCTCAAAGCCCACAAGGCTATTATTTCTGCAAGATCCCCATTTTTTCGGAATTTATTACAAAGGAGGATACGGACTGGTGAAGAAATCACAGACCGAACTTTGAGGACGCCCACGAGAATTATATTAGACGAGTCTATTATACCAAAAAAATATGCAAAAGTGATACTGCACTGCATGTACACTGACGTGGTGGACCTCTCTGTGCTACACTGCAGCCCCTCCGTGGGGAGTCTCAGTGAAGTGCAGGCTCTCGTCGCAGGGAAGCCGAACATGACCAGGGCAGAGGAAGCCATGGAGCTTTACCACATAGCACTGTTCCTGGAATTTAACATGCTCGCACAAGGTAGGGATTCTAGTTGTTCATGGTGATGTCTAAAGGTACGTATTTGTCTTCCAAGTTGAAAACACAACCAGGGTGTTCTGCGATTTCAGGGTTTGAGATGTGACAGATCTGTTTTTTTGAACCTGGAGCTATAACATGAGACAGATTAAGGATCAGTGTTAACGTGACTCTTTTAGTATAAAAATCAAGCATTCGGTACTCGTGTGCTGCTGTGGATTTGTTTCTGAGAGGAGCGTGGTGGGGGCAAGAGGCGGGGTCTGTGTGGTGACTCTGCGCCTCTTGCCCCCACCACGCTCCTCCTCCCAAAACAAATCCTTCACAATACTCGTGACTAAGAGCATTCGGGGAGACTTGAGGCTCTTTCTGCCCTGACAGAAGATGACAGGTGTGGGAACACATGATCGCTCGTCCACTGCAGACTCGTGCTGCGGGGTCTGCACTGTCAGGATGGTGGGGCGACGGCGTTCTACAAGAAGCACCGAGACGAGTTTCAGTAAACACATCCGTTTATTAACAGTCAGGCATAAACATTTTAAGGGCAGGCAGAGGGGGCGTAGCTAGTTCAGGGCAACACTAATTCTGTAGGATAGTCGATATTGACGCCGTTATGCTTCTCCAGTGAGCTTGAAGGTGCTAGATTTTTTTGTGCCTTTTTCAATTAACTTAAACTAAAAATTTTTAAATTAGGACCATACATTTGTTGTCTTACAGGAAAATGACTAAGTGAAAGTTATATTAAAAGAAGCATGTGTCTGCTGGTAAATGTTAGACTTTTAACCTTTCAGAGCTGGAAAGAGCCCTTCCTGGGGAGAACAGAGGGAGTTTGCGGCCCTGTGAAAGGGGGAGCAAGCTGTATGACACCAGATTACCTGAGAAATTTAATTCGGCTGATGCATGTTAGCTGAAAGAACATTAGAAGCTGCCACTGGGGGCAGGTATTAAACAGCCATGTTGGAGTGCCTGTCTGCACTGCCACTTCTGATCCAGCTTCCTGCTCATGCACACCCTGGGAGGCAGCAGGTGATGGCTCAGGAACCAAGTCCCTGCCATCCACTGGGATAACCAGATGGAGTTTCTGACTCCTGGCTTTGGCAGAGTCCAACCCTTGCTGTTACAGGTAGTTGGGGAGTGAACCAGTGGTTGGAAGATAGATCTCTTTGCCTTTCAAAGAAATAAAACTAAATAAAATGTTAACAAGCTGCCATTAGAAGACAGTGTTAATAGTTTGGGTAAAAGATGTGAATTTAAATAAAGCAAAAACATTTTTCTAATTTGAAAATAATATGTATTTTATGGCTAAGCCAACCCATTAATAAGGCTCTGAGAAATTATTAAATAGCCCAGTTAAATAGCAGTGTCAGTAATAAAATAGGAAGGGCATTTATGAATGTTGACATTTCTTTTACATAACGAGTCTTAAAATTTTATTTTACCATTATCTTTTAGGAATAGGCTAGATTTTGTTTTAATAATAAAAATGTTATTAAAATATTGACTTATTTTAAAGTGAGAATCATTAATGTTATAAATAATAGCAGACTACTTGGATAGACTATAGGGAAAATACTCCTACAGAAAAATTTAAATTACAACATTAACAAAAACATGATAGTCTCTGTTTTCCTCAAATTGTTTTTATTTGATGTGTTTCAATAATCCAAATCTATTAATATGTACTGTTTTTAAATATCAGAAAGCATTTCTTGATGTATTTTTTTTAAATTTTGAATGAAAAAAGTAAAATTGTCAGCAAGTTCTTGGGTCTATGATATACTTGATTCTCTAGAGTTCTTTTTTCTTCTTACATGAGTTACTTTTCTTTTTCTGTAATTTGGCTAGAAATTGAATTTTATTAAGTGCATTTAAAGATACAAACCAACACTCCTTGCATCTCCTTCACCTGGTTACTTAAGAAATGGTGTACAGCTGTTTCTCAAATTTGGGTATGCATGGTCTTACCATCTTTCGTGATTTCAACATGGTTTATTCTGCTTACTACATATGAAGCATGTTTCTCTCTTATCCCAAAAGTGTTACTGTTGGGGTTTATAGTACATAGCTTCACCAATCTTTGCCTCATTTCCATGGAGGGAGAATATTCGGTCACTTGGAAATGTTTTTATAACACTTAAGAGCTCAGTTTCTAGAACCAGATAAACTGGGTTTGAATCCTCTACCTCGTAACTTGTTTGACCCTAAGCAAGTCATGTAATTTCTGTAAGTCCCTGTTTTCTCATTGATAAACTAAGAATGGTAACCCTGTAAGGTAAGATTATGAGGATTAAAGAAAATAATATATATTAAATGATCTGAGTAGTGCCTGGCATATACTAAGCATTCAGGAAATGTTAGCTGCCAAATGATAATCACAGTGTGTATCTTTACTACCACATAGTCTTGTCTAAAAATCACTATTTAAATTTAAACAATTTTATTGTATTTGTATTCTAAAGACTTGACAGAAATTAATGATTTTAAAATGTCCTTGGGGCTGGCACTGTGACGTAGTGGGCTTAGCCTCAGCCTGTGGTGCCAGCATCCCATAAGGGTGTCAGTTTGTGTCCTGGCTACTCCTCTTCTCATCCAGCTCTCTGCTGTGGCCTGGGAAAGCACTGGAAGATGGCCCAAGTGCTTGGGCCCCTGCACCCATAGGGAGTCCTGGAAGAAGCTCCTGGCTCCTAGCTTAGGATTGGCCCAGCTCCAACCGTTGTAGCCATCTGGGGAGTGAACCAGTGATTAGAAGACCTTGTTCTCTGTCTTTCTGTCTCACTTTCTATAATTCTACCGCCAATTAAATAAATAAAAATCTTTTTTAAAAAGGCCTTATAATTTTATCATTATAAAGCTGATCTATTATCATTGTACTTACCAAATTATTATTAAGTATCACTCCATTTGTCACTAGACTGCAGTCAGATCTTCTCAGCAGTTCTGTGAGTTGATTAAGCCCACTGCGTTGCTGAGGCATTTATTATGTTTAAAGAGTTAGTGTCTCTCCCATGCCTCCAGCATGGACTAATTATGGATCTTTTTTTCTTTTGAATGTGTGCTCATTATAGCTGAAAGGCACAGAGATAGATATATATATATAGAGAGAGAGAGAGAAAGAAAGAAATCAATCTCCCACCACTGATTCATTCCCCATATGCCCAAAACAGCTAGCCCCGGGCCAGGCAAAAGCCAGGAACCCAGCTCTCAATCTCAGTCTCCCATGTGAATAGCAGGGACCCAAGGACTCGAGCCATCACTTGCTGTGTCCCAGAGTGCATTCATAGGAAGCTGGGTCAGAAGTGGAGGCAGGACTTAACCAAACCCAGGCACTCCAGTATGAGATGCAGGCATCCCCAGTGGTGTCTTAACTGCTATGCCAAATGCCTGCCTCAGTTTTACACCATTTTGAAGAGAATTGGGTGAAAATCATGTTTTGTGTTCCATGATTTAGATGGAGAGTCCCAGGCTTTTGAGACAGGACTTTGGGCAACTTGAGAGTAAGATTGTGTTCTCCGTATTTTTGTGTCCCCAGTGTCCAGGACAGAATAGGCATACAGTGAATGTTTTAAGTCAATAACTGTAAGTTAAAGCCCAATATTGTAAACAAATAGTAATCAGAACTGACTGGCTCTTTCAATATCCGATGAAATTTTAAAAGGTGACAAGAGACAATTAAAAGTTCAGGAAGAAAATACTACAGTTAGAAGCACTTATATACCACAAGACAGATCATCAAATATACAAAGCAAAAACTGACAGAACTGAAAGGTTAAATAGACAGTTCCGGAATAATAGTTGGAGATTTCAGGATCCTGCTGTCAGTAATGATTGGAAAAGCCAGACAGAAGGTATGTAAAGAGAACGTTAAATCTAATGGACTAGCACAGGACATCTTCTAGGACCTCATGTTGGCACACAGGTGAAGTCTCCGATTTTTAAAAATAGCTGTTACAAAACCGTTTCTCCAACCACAGGATGGAGTTAGAAATTATAACAGGTGAAACTAGTAAGTCCACGTATTTATGGAAATTAAACAACCCAGTCTTAGCCAGTGACTCAAAGACCCTGAAGGCATTATTCAAAATGGAAGAAGCCAGTCACATAAAGACAAATACTGTGTGATCCTACTTACAGGAGGTGAATAGTCAAAACCTTAGAGCCAGCGTTAGAACGGTAGTTGCCAAAAATGCTGGAAGAGGGGGAGATAGGGAACATGTGGAATGGGCGTCGCAGAGCAAGAGTTAGGTGAACAGTGCTGATTGCTGCACAGCAGCATGAATGCATTTGGTTCATTGAACTGTGTACTTCAAAGTGGCTAATTAAGTTATGTGCATTTCACCACAGTTTTTTAAATGGAAAAAAAAATTGAAGCCAGTTTGAAAAGTAGACAGATTTTACCAGTAAAGGCTGAAACCCAGACTAGATATACTCTCCATGGTAGGAAAGGTGACCTGGTAGCTTCAAGAGCATCGCAGGGAGTCAGTATAGGCAGCCAGCCAGGTGGTTTGGTAATTTTCAAAAGAGAGGAGAGGGTTCCTGGCTTACACAGAGAACATGTTTGATTTAGTTCTGGAATAAGCAGAAGGCCTCAGCTATAGGCCTGGCATTTTAGGACCACATTTGACTTCACTTGATTTCCATAATAACAGCATAAAACAAGTAGAAACTCTCAAGGACAAAGGAAGAAGACAGCAGGGAGTGGAAGAAAGGATAGTGGAAATTTTGGGAGGATGGGAAACAGATTGAGAATGGCTACTGCAGTGTGTACCTGCAGAGCAGGTGGGGCTCCCGAGAAGGCTGGCAGCCCTGCCTGCCCCTGTGTGGAGTGTCTGCCCCTGTGTGGAGTGGTTCACCCAGGTGGCACCAAGTACTCTGCAAGAGAGGGAGATGCCTGGTGTAGAACTAGAGATGGGTTCTCTTGTAAGTCTCAATACTGAGGGGCCGGCGCCATGGCGCAGCAGGTTAACACCCTGGCCTGCAGCACCGGCATCCCATGTGGGCACTGGTTC